CGGGGCAACGTAGATCATTGCTGAATCATAGCTGGCTTGCCCCTGGACTTCACTGGTGGCCCCTGAGACATTTGTGGCCTCAGGTCTGGTGCCGTGACACCGTGGTTGGGGGACTGCAGACCTGTCAATGTTATCAGGTCCTGCGCCACCTCATAACTCTTGGTGTGGAAGGGAGGTCCAAATCCTCCACCTGGGTCTCCTCTGGTGTTTCCGGACCCAATGGTCCCTCCCATGGGCCTGGAGTCAACTGTACTGGCTGCTGAGCTGGAGGGGAGATGTGGTCTTGCACCTGACTCCCTTCCTTGGGTTCACGTTCCCGTGCGTGGGAAGGGGAGTCCCCTCTATCAGTCTTCCTGTAATGCTTCTTCAGGACAGGAGACTGAGTGGTGCTGAAATTGATCCTGTGCCGTGCCCGGCACTGGGGAATGCTGGTGCCGAGGGTCTCTGACCCCAGAGGCCTTCCTCAGCACCTGCCGGACCAAAGCCGGTGCACTGATGCAGAGGAGCTCGGTGCCATGTCCATGGGGCTCAACTCAGACTGGGGGTGGAGAGCTGCTTCCATTAGCAGTAACTTTAGTCTGATCTCTCTCCTTCATGCGGGGGCGAAAGCTCCTACAGATCTTGCACCTGTCTGCTTGATGGGACTCCCCCATACACTTTAGACAAGCTGAGTGCGGGTCGCCCTGGGGCATAGGTTTCTGGCAAACCCCGCCCGTCTTAAACCCCTAGGTCCAAGGCATGCCCCAGACCCGGGACAGGGACTGGGAAGCGGGGAGGGAAACACCTCCCAGTACCTCAAGTCCAGATGTCTGTCTAACTACAACAATTTTTAAAAACTGTCATTATTTACAAAAAATACGCTAGAGGATTGCTCGAAGACGAGAGATGAAATGCTCTGACCACCGCCACTGAAAATGAGAAGGAACTGGAGAGGCGGCGAATCGGCAGGGCCCTATATGCAGTGCCATGCAGGCACAACTCCAGGGGGCTCCAAAGCTGATCCCACGGGAAAAGCCTTCCGGTGAACTACGCACGTGGTGCGCGCACACACCTGATTAGAATAGATATGAGCAAGCACAAGAATGTGAACTTTGTTATTCATTTAATAAACAATACCATCCCTTACCTTTCCACAGGGCAAGTCAGATCTGTGAGTTCTATTATTTCAAGTGTAGGCTTCTACTAGCTCACTAATTCGCAAAATTGCAGGTAAGTACTTACATAAAACAGCTCCTACAGAGGGATTTTAAATTGGCTGTTCGCAGCTCAGTGAGGAAGAGAATTTGGCCTAAAAAGCAAGTCACAGCTGAAGTAGCCATGCATATAGGCCATTTCCTGATTGAGGTACTACAGTGTGCCACACCACCCTCTCAAAGAACACTGACAATGCCTGTGTCACAGCCTGGCTCAATCCAACAGCCTGTTGTGAGTGCACCCAACTGCTGGATCCTATGTACTTCTAAGCCAAATGGGTCTGGACAGGGACTAGTTACTGTTTCCAGCTCTGGATGTGTAAGGCATGCTCTTACACCTCTTGTCTGAGCCTGAGCCCTTCCCTGGCACATGGGACTATGCAATCCTGCCACCCCAAACCCTGGAACCAGGGCCTCAGGCTTCCTGAGCCTCCCTAGTTGCTTACTGTCAGACTCCTAGGCTGTGGTGGTCACTCTGGACTGCTAATTTAATCCCTTCAGGGTCAACGTGGCAAGACCACCACAGAATGGATTCCAAATTCAAACTGGAGGTCATCATGCCACCCCCACACATCCCACTGCCACAGCTCGCGTGTCAGCTTTGCTGTCCTTTTTTTTAAAGGACAACAAAAAAAACCACCCACACCCCACAACACATGGAGGGCCAAGCAGCCAGCTTGCAGATTTCTTCCCAAGAAGTGCATCTCAAACCTACGCCTTCAATTCCCGGACGTTTATTTTTTGGCTATATATAATGTTATTGTGCATGGGATTCCAAGCCACTGCTTTTTCCTTCAGGGCAACAGTTAGGGACAGGAGCAGTGGTGAGATATGGAGTTTACTTTAGGGCTGAAAGCTGGGTTCATTTAGAGAACTCTTGGCCTCATGACAAAAGCAGCAGTGGTGGTGCTCTGTGGCTACCACTCCAAATTAGAGATGGCTGGAAAACTGAAATCCCTTCCTGTGGGAGATTCCACATTTTGGAAAAAAAAAGTGTCCTGACGTGTCAGAAAACATGGGCTCCCCCCGCAAGGGGATTCAAGGAAAGAAAAAAATGTTTCTTGACAAATAAAACAATCTCAGCTTCCCAACTGCCCACCTGGAAAGCTCTTGTCAATTTCCCTTTCCTCAAGGCTTTCAGGCAGGCAGCCTGGGAAATGACACTTCAGTTTTCCTGACAAAAAGTTGAAAATTTTCAGCAAAGGTGAGTTTTTTCCCCCATGAAAAAGTTCTGTTTGAGAAAAGGGCATTTTTCAACAGGAAAATGATGAACTCCTGACCAGCTATCCTCCTAATTCCAATAATTGTCTGACTGATATAACTGTTATTAATGAAGGCATTTTATAGATCGGGAACAGACACTCAAAGATGATCAGTGGAATAGAATGCCTATCTTAAAGGAGAATGGAAGAGCCTGACTTGTTCAGCCTAGCAAAAGGCAGGCTGAGGGGGGATATAGGATTTCTTTCTGTAAATACATCAGGGAGATAAGCACCAGAAGGTCCGTCCTTTAGCCAGAATATCTTTTCAATGTCAGTACAAGCACAAATGGATATACACCGACCATGAACAAATCCACGTGGGAAACTGGAAAAAGGTTTCTAACCATCAGAGTGAGGTTCTGGAACAGCCTCCCAATAGGTGCATTGGGGACAAACAGTTTTGAGAGCTAGACAAATTTATGAGTAGGATTGCATGATGGGGTTGATTATGATGGTGAGGGGCAGGGCTCGGCAGTCTTGTAGGTATCTTCTGGTTCATGTTTGGAGTTTCTAAAAATCTCATGCTTCAACCCGTAATCTGCAGGAGTCAGGAAGGGACTTCCTGTGCTCAAGTATGCATGCGCACACATACAACATACTGGGTTGTGGCTTTGTCTCCTTCCTCTGAAGGATTAGAGATGACCACAGCTGGAGACTGGTCCACACCATCCAATATCCCTTTCACTGGTGCTTGGCTGCATCTAACTGATGAACATATGTGCTGTCAGGAAGGAATTTTCCCCCAGGTTACATTGACAGCAGCCTTAGAGGTTTTCCACCTTCTTCTGTAGCGTGGGATTCAGTTTGCTTGCCATGATCATCTGGGAACATGTCACTTGATCAATTCCCAGCCACTGCAGGGGCCTCAGGCGTTGGTGCATTTTGGTGCCTCCTATTCTCTACCTGTGGAATATAGTTTTAATCTCCTAAAGACTAATAATTTGGTCTAATTTCAGTTGTTGGGTTTAATGTGGGTGCTGAATGGTTGGGGGCTTATAATATACCGGAGGCCAGACTAGGCCCCTTCTGGCCTTAAACTCTGTGACCAGATTGAAATCCTAGGATTTCAGAAAACTGCACCCCAAATCTGCATTATTCAACGTCAGTCAACTCCTGCAGTTCAACCACAAGAAATCCTTTTGATTGGAAATCCCCTTCAAAAGTAAGAAACCTAGACAAAATGTAGAGGGTGCATTAGCCTAAGTTTTAATTTTAAAATTAGTTTTCCACTGTTCATTATGGAATTCCCCCTCCTCACCTCTGCCATCACCACAGACAAGGGACTTCTTTCCTTTAGCCAAAGACAAGTAGGTAGGGCTTACCTTCAAAACTACTTAGGAGACTCCTTGATTAACCAATATGGATCTGGTGAAATATAAATACCACTGCTTTTTATTCCTTGTGTGTGTCACAGAACAATTTCCAGGACAGTGTGAAGTTCTTCAGGGCCAAGAAATAAGATGTTATTACACCAGAGTTATGACGTCTGAGTTATAACACCAGACTCAGCTACCACTATGGGTATGCCTACACAAACATAAGAGATCACAGCATGGTTGGCCCAGGTCAGCTGACTCAGGCTGTGGGGCTAAAAACTGATGTGTCGACACATTCGGGCTCAGGCTGGAGCCCAAGCTCTGGGACCCTCTACTCTCGCAGGGTCTCAGAGCTCAGGCTCTAGCCCTGTGGTCCCCAAACTTTTTACCTTATGCCCCCCTCGGAGCCAAGAGTGGGGCTGTGGCTGCTGGAAGGGGGGGGGCATGCCACAGACAGGGGTAAGTGGGCTGAGGCTGGGGCTCAGAGTGAGTTCAAACCCTAACTATGTTCAGATAAGAATCTGGACACTTTTGATCTAGTCTTTCCCTAAGAACACCCTAAAATATATTTGAAGATATAAAAATACATGCACACATCCTACACCCTTACACCCCAGACAAAATAAACCAATCTTCAGAGAAACAGACCTATGGAGGCACAGATGTCATTGTGCTCAGGTGCTTTTAATTAAAAAATTGCATTAAAATTTTAGTTCAATACTGACATTTAAGTTATGGGAAAGAGAAGGGGAACTGGCACCTCAAAAACAGTCATCCATCCCCCAGCCTGTGACTGGGGACAATCCTTAGCTCAATCCATAATGAAACATTGTAAAGAAAGCAAAAAGTTTCTGTGAGTCATGTCAGCTGTAATTGAAAGTTTCTTGGCTTGTGTTTTTACAGAATACCCTTACATTTTACTTGATAGAAAAAGGCTGAGGAAGTAGTAGCCATTCTGGTGATCAGCCCTGCCACAACCAAAGTTTTGCGAACTCTGCTCCTGGTAGACGGAAACATGCCACAGTTCTAGGCCCAGATTCAGGCGGTACTTAAGCACTTGTTTAACTAAGTACATGAGCAGTCCTGCTGCAGTAAAGCAAATGCTGAAGTACATTTCCATACAAGGTGCCCTAGATGGTAAAACTAGATTTGGACCCCTTCCATTTACAAACAAACAAACAGACACAGACATTTGCCACATGTTCAAGTTCTGTATGTTATTTGCTTACCTGAAACAGCGTCATAGAACTGTTCCTCACTAAGGATGCTCAGAGGCGGAGATCCTTTAACTAGAGACTGCTCTAATTCATGGTGTTCAGTGGCTAGTGTCTCTAGTGCTTCTGACAAGATCTTGTTTTTCTCCTGTTCATGCTCCAGTTTCAAATTCCTCACCTATAAGTAGACACATGTATGAATAGAATCTATCCTTCAAATAGCTTGGAGAGACACATTCTTGGGAGAGATGAGATTTTAGTTGGTCTCTGAACCAGTTATTTACAATAGAAACTGAAGTAGCTATAGCAGCCGTGTTGTGTTACTTGTGGATTAAATGAGCAATATTACAGGATAATTCTGTTCCCACATGATGATTTTTTGTCTCAGCATTTTTTAAACTATTGAAAAGTCTTTCAAAAAAGAGTTTAAGGTTTATATATCAGAATTCTGCAACGGACTTCAACACACAGCTATCTGACTGGCTGACGTTCCAAACAATTACTAAGTTTTAAATGATGTTTCCCAGATTTGTTTGTAGTCAGAATAAAAAAAAAAAGCCTGTTCTAGTGTTTAAACTGGATTCACATGCGGCAAGCCACTTCTACTGTTCTGCTCTAATTTGGGCCAATTAATATAATCCAATTGCATTTCTCAGCAGGTGTGAGTTACATAGGGGCAAATTATCAACATCTTAAAAATTGGAGTGTGTTAACCCCTAGAATTACCGTTTTCAAGTAAGTTAAGGAAGTGAAAGAGGTGAGATGAAAGGAGGGGAAAGTGTGACCGGCTGATTTATCTCCGATGTAATGCTCCTAACACCCCATTGTAAACTGTTCATAGAACAGCCACAAACTGACATGAGCAAGGAAACTGGGGGGGGAGGGAAGAGGGCAAGAAGAGACTGGCTAGCAGATGGGTTTTGCATTAAAAAAACCCCACACCTATTAAACCTTTGTTATTTTCCTGTGGTGCTACAAGCGTCACTGTCTTCTGAGCTCCAAGAATTACTAACATGAAAGCAGTAACATATCCCTACTATCCCTCCTCCTCCCTGTGCTATTCCCTCCTTTTCTTTCCTTTTAGGGGAAGATTTACACTTGGACCTCTCCCAGAAAGCCTCCCCCGCCCCAACAAGCCCTCCACCTGCTGCCTTCCCTCCAATCCAAAGACTGCTTCAATCTTTGACTTTCTCCATCCCCCGCACCGCTTTTCCTCGAGATCCCCAGTGTAAAGGCATTCAGCTTCCCCTGCTACCGCCTTTCCCTCATTTCCTTCTCAGGGTCCCCTTCGTATCCCCCTTCGCAGCCCTCCCAGTTCTCACACGCAGTTAACTGAAACAGCATTGGAGCAGTTATAGTGACTCAGTTTCAGCTTATATTGTAAGCAAGAACTGCTTATGTACCAACATTAACTAAAATTATAAATAATCATAATTTTATACATGTAATTTACTTGCCTTCATGCTTTTTGTAGACTTTTTGCATCAATCTCTGCTTAAACAACAAAAGCTGATTAGGTCAGTTTCACTTTTGTTTATTGCCAAGTTCACTTTCAGCATCATTGTGCTACAATCTTTGGGTCTCAAACAAGGTAGCATGTTTGTTTAAAGTCAGCTGTGCCCACAATTTATAAAAAAAGATTCAATGCAACACTTCACTTGGGGGTATTTTAACAAAATGTACGTTAGTTTCCTTAAATTTCGCCAGTTGAATAGCAAGACTGTTAAGTTCTTAGGTAGGTGAAATGCTAAAGTTGCAACTTTACCCATGAAAAAGTGTTAGAAAGACATCTGAATACTTATTATAAAAGATTGCAAACTAAAATGTAGCCTCTGGTCTTTACCACAAGATAGTGATAAAGGGTAAAAATTTCAAAATGCATCCAAGTCCCATTTTCAAAAGTGATTTCGGCTCCTAAGTGCCTGTGTCAAATAAAACTTAAACAGCCCTTTTGAAAACTATCAAAAGTAATTAACTAAAGTGAATAAAATCCAGGAAGTCTCAACTAAAATGTTGTATTGTGAGAAGATTCCAGCAGCACCAAAGGATGACAGTTTGAGGAACAGTAGGTGCCATATGTGCTCCAAAACCAAGCCCAGGAATTGAGTTTCTTTTCTTTCACTGGTAGAGTCAGAATCTTAAAACAGCTCTTCTACAATCCTTTAGTCTGCTTGGTCATTCATGGAATGTTACTCATAATTGTGTAATGAGTACCATGCCCCAAAAGTGAATTCTCCTTTCTCAAAAATAGCCAGCTTTGCAGCAATAATGGTCTTCTTCCATAAATTGCCAGGCTTCACAGCTGCTGAACACTTATCCAAACAAATACTTAAAGCTCCTAATACCTAAATAAAGAGTTTCTCCCTTGTGGTCCTTGTAGCATTAGACAGCAGCTAAAGTAAACAAAGTGAGGAAAAAATTAGACTATTCAAGTCAATGTGACTGGAAGTTGAAAATTGAATTCCTTTGTTTTAAAAGTTAACTCAGAGGGAAAGGGAAGGAAAAAAAAATCTAATTTAAGATAAAATATGGGCCCCAATCTTATAAGTTTAATAAAGTGGGCAGATACCTATGTCCACACAGAGCCCCAGAATTTAAAGAAGTCCACCAGTTTGGAGCTCAGTGCAGGACAGGAGACTAAATGAGCAAGTCTTAAAGAGGAAGGATGACTTTCAATGAAAGAAGTTTCCAAAAAGCAGCTGAAACTCCATAGAACCTACATCCTATTTTAAAGTGAAAAAATTGGTTCTCCTTCCACTTTTAGCCTCTGATTCTTTTACTCTAATTGCAGTTCCCTTGTACGGCCTCCACATAATCTATATAAATGCAACCACCAATGGAAGATAAACTTCTTTGAAGCCTAACAGCCCTTCCCCCAAGTAAAAAATGCAATGTGTTTATTGGACCATTCATGCTCAGTGCTATTTTATTTTCTTCCCACTTGCTAATGACCAAGCATATTCTTTACTTCTCTTCTACAAGAGCACTTCCAGTGCGCCAACATTCACAAATCCACCTTGCGATAAGCTGCTTGCAAAGACAGGCAGGCTACTTTTCTTCAGAACTAAATGGGCCTGGTCCCCGATTCTACCAGCAGGAGTTAGAGCACTGCTCTAAGGCAAGCCACTCCCTTCCACTACATTCATTAAGTTCTTGCATATTTAAAAAAAACAAAACTCAACAAAACATAAAGCAACTGATTTTTCAATCATTTTGAACTCCAGCCTTCTGTAACGAAAGACTGCTTTGGTTCAAGTCTTACAAAATTGCCCATTTGCTATGTTGGTTCACAAAACTCAGTCCAAAATTCACATTTTGCGTGGAATGCAAATACAAAATACTGGCTGAGGATCAATGAAAGTAAGTGGACACTAATGACCATCCCTTTCCCCATCAAAGAGTCTGAAAAAGTGTCCCAATAAGTACTCATGAAGCAGCAGAAAAGCAAGGCAGAGCCTCCATTCCAATTTAGAGTTACTTTCCCACTACAGCATCTTCAGAGCCAAAGGCATTCCCACCCCCTGCCTCTCCAAGATTTATAAATAAGATTCTATTGGATATTACTAGCATTTCATTCAACTAGACTTTGCAGACAGACAAGGGAACATACTCAGCATGACAGTTTCCAGAGGAGTTTCCTTGTATTTATTTGTATCATTCTGTTTTGTGCAGTCTCATTCGCTTCCCTTCCACCTTTTGTTTTAGAGCAGTAAGAACAAGTTCAGTAGCTGCTTTTAATGTAATCTCACATTGGGATTGAAATGTTATCGATCTCCGTGCGTGCACAGTTCTGGAAACCCAGTCCAAGTACTAGAGCAATGTATCCCTACCATGCATTCCATTCATAATCTCTGTAAAGCGCAGTTTGTGCTAGAGTTGTAGCAGATCAAGAATACAGATTTCAACTATTTCCACTGTTGAATTATGAGAGTTTTGAGATCAGCGAGATGGGTTTAAGACAAGTTAACTATTTCAGTTAGGCTTTCTGTATTATGATATGGGGGTACAAGATTACAGTAACAGTTTGTAAATCTGATAGTTTCAACTAGTAACAATTAATCCATCTAGTTATCTCAGAAAGAATGACAATGATTTTACTGTGAGACTATGAACTGCACTACTCTGTCACTGCAATTTTTGTTAAAGTTTAATACCTACATGGTCTTCAGTTACATGGGTCAATAGGGCAGGGACCATCTTTTTATTCTGCGTTTGTACAGTGCCTAGTAAGCGCATTCCTCATCCATGACTGGGCTCCTAGATGCTATAGTAATACAAATAATAAATATACATACACCCATACCCACTGGGACAGCATAAGAACTCCAGTTACTAAACAGAAAATTCTGCAGCCTTCATTAGACTGAGTTCAAATTACAGCTGTAAGTGTGAAAAGGAAAGCTGCTGGGCCACAAAGACATTTTCCCTGAAACCTGCTGGTATTTAGAGCAGTTTGGATTAGACTGCTCTAATACAGTGCTCATCTTCCAATTCATATCATATATCCCAATTCAATACAGCCAATGCCTTATGTGGTATTTTATTTTCCAAGTTAATTTAAACTGAGGTCCATTAACAATGGCATATTCCAAAACAGGCAGAATCATACCACTGATCTTTGGGACTTCAGTGCCACAAATACATGGGATCATATAAGTGGCATGCTAGCACAGCTGCAAGCAGCCCTACGGAAGTACTGCATATCAACCAAGGCCTGAGGCAGCTGGAGAGGATGGACAGAGATGGGAAGGAAGAAATCTAGACTTGTCAGGAAAGAGAACTAGGCCAGCAGCTGTCAAAGATGGAGATGTGTAAAATAAAGTTTAAAAAAAAGAGCAAGACTTAATTTTTTGGCATTTCTGAAATATTACCTGTCTTTATGGAGTCAAGAGGGCAACATGGCTCATTTAATTTCGCTTTCTGAAAGAACACAATCTTAGACGAGTTAATAGAAGCTCTACATTTGGACATTCTGAATTGTGAAGGATCTTCTTCCTTCCCAAACATATTTCCCTAGAATTATCTATAGTAATGCCCAGCTTCAAAAAGCACATTATTATATTGTACTTTTCCAGGTATTCGTTGTCCAATCTTGTTTAGCAGTCTACCTAAAGTAGTATAGTCTACCATGACAGAACTTCTAGGTTCTCCGCTTATCTCTGCCACTTACTCATTGTG